TCTCAGGAACTATAAGTGCAAATGAGCTGAAATTTTCAGGGATTGTAGCCCTTTGAAAGGGATAAAATTCAGTGAAAGATTCAGCTTTCTATCTATAATAGAAAAGAAGTTATGACCTTTTAAAATTTTCCAAAATCTAAATCATAAGGTAGGTACCTTCATACTAAAACGATGAAATTTCAAATTTTTTTTTGTTGAGATTCTGTGTCCTAATGGTCAATTAACACCCCCCAATCTCCATACACTAAATTATTCTCAGATTTGAAGCCGAAATCTATGAAAAAAGGCACTCAGAAAAATTGAAAAATTGATAAATCACCCCAAATTGCTTAACACGATTTTATCTCAGGAACTATAAGTGCAAATGAGCTGAAATTTTCAGGGATTGTAGCCCTTTGAAAGGGATAAAATTCAGTGAAAGATTCAGCTTTCTATCTATAATAGAAAAGAAGTTATGACCTTTTAAAATTTTCCAAAATCTAAATCATAAGGTAGGTACCTTCATACTAAAACGATGAAATTTCAAATTTTTTTTTGTTGAGATTCTGTGTCCTAATGGTCAATTAACACCCCCCAATCTCCATACACTAAATTATTCTCAGATTTGAAGCCGAAATCTATGAAAAAAGGCACTCAGAAAAATTGAAAAATTGATAAATCACCCCAAATTGCTTAACACGATTTTATCTCAGGAACTATAAGTGCAAATGAGCTGAAATTTTCAGGGATTGTAGCCCTTTGAAAGGGATAAAATTCAGTGAAAGATTCAGCTTTCTATCTATAATAGAAAAGAAGTTATGACCTTTTAAAATTTTCCAAAATCTAAATCATAAGGTAGCTACCTTCATACTAAAACGATGAAATTTCAAATTTTTTTTTGTTGAGATTCTGTGTCCTAATGGTCAATTAACACCCCCCAATCTCCATACACTAAATTATTCTCAGATTTGAAGCCGAAATCTATGAAAAAAGGCACTCAGAAAAATTGATAAATTACCCCAAATTGCTTAACACGATTTTATCTCAGGAACTATAAGTGCAAATGAGCTGAAATTTTCAGGGATTGTAGTCCTTTGAAAGGGATGAAATTCAGTGAAAGATTCAGCTTTCTATCTATAATAGAAAAGAAGTTATGACCTTTTAAAATTTTCCAAAATCTAAATCATAAGGTAGGTACCTTCATACTAAAACGATGAAATTTCAAATTTTTTTTTGTTGAGATTCTGTGTCCTAATGGTCAATTAACACCCCCCAATCTCCATACACTAAATTATTCTCAGATTTGAAGCCGAAATCTATGAAAAAAGGCACTCAGAAAAATTGAAAAATTGATAAATCACCCCAAATTGCTTAACACGATTTTATCTCAGGAACTATAAGTGCAAATGAGCTGAAATTTTCAGGGATTGTAGCCCTTTGAAAGGGATAAAATTCAGTGAAAGATTCAGCTTTCTATCTATAATAGAAAAGAAGTTATGACCTTTTAAAATTTTCCAAAATCTAAATCATAAGGTAGGTACCTTCATACTAAAACGATGAAATTTCAAATTTTTTTTTGTTGAGATTCTGTGTCCTAATGGTCAATTAACACCCCCCAATCTCCATACACTAAATTATTCTCAGATTTGAAGCCGAAATCTATGAAAAAAGGCACTCAGAAAAATTGAAAAATTGATAAATCACCCCAAATTGCTTAACACGATTTTATCTCAGGAACTATAAGTGCAAATGAGCTGAAATTTTCAGGGATTGTAGTCCTTTGAAAGGGATGAAATTCAGTGAAAGATTCAGCTTTCTATCTATAATAGAAAAGAAGTTATGACCTTTTAAAATTTTCCAAAATCTAAATCATAAGGTAGCTACCTTCATACTAAAACGATGAAATTTCAAATTTTTTTTTGTTGAGATTCTGTGTCCTAATGGTCAATTAACACCCCCCAATCTCCATACACTAAATTATTCTCAGATTTGAAGCCGAAATCTATGAAAAAAGGCACTCAGAAAAATTGATAAATTACCCCAAATTGCTTAACACGATTTTATCTCAGGAACTATAAGTGCAAATGAGCTGAAATTTTCAGGGATTGTAGTCCTTTGAAAGGGATGAAATTCAGTGAAAGATTCAGCTTTCTATCTATAATAGAAAAGAAGTTATGACCTTTTAAAATTTTCCAAAATCTAAATCATAAGGTAGCTACCTTCATACTAAAACGATGAAATTTCAAATTTTTTTTTGTTGAGATTCTGTGTCCTAATGGTCAATTAACACCCCCCAATCTCCATACACTAAATTATTCTCAGATTTGAAGCCGAAATCTATGAAAAAAGGCACTCAGAAAAATTGATAAATTACCCCAAATTGCTTAACACGATTTTATCTCAGGAACTATAAGTGCAAATGAGCTGAAATTTTCAGGGATTGTAGCCCTTTGAAAGGGATGAAATTCAGTGAAAGATTCAGCTTTCTATCTATAATAGAAAAGAAGTTATGACCTTTTAAAATTTTCCAAAATCTAAATCATAAGGTAGCTACCTTCATACTAAAACGATGAAATTTCAAATTTTTTTTTGTTGAGATTCTGTGTCCTAATGGTCAATTAACACCCCCCAATCTCCATACACTAAATTATTCTCAGATTTGAAGCCGAAATCTATGAAAAAAGGCACTCAGAAAAATTGAAAAATTGATAAATCACCCCAAATTGCTTAACACGATTTTATCTCAGGAACTATAAGTGCAAATGAGCTGAAATTTTCAGGGATTGTAGCCCTTTGAAAGGGATGAAATTCAGTGAAAGATTCAGCTTTCTATCTATAATAGAAAAGAAGTTATGACCTTTTAAAATTTTCCAAAATCTAAATCATAAGGTAGCTACCTTCATACTAAAACGATGAAATTTCAAATTTTTTTTTGTTGAGATTCTGTGTCCTAATGGTCAATTAACACCCCCCAATCTCCATACACCAAATTATTCTCAGATTTGAAGCCGAAATCTATGAAAAAAGGCACTCAGAAAAATTGAAAAATTGATAAATCACCCCAAATTGCTTAACACGATTTTATCTCAGGAACTATAAGTGCAAATGAGCTGAAATTTTCAGGGATTGTAGCCCTTTGAAAGGGATGAAATTCAGTGAAAGATTCAGCTTTCTATCTATAATAGAAAAGAAGTTATGACCTTTTAAAATTTTCCAAAATCTAAATCATAAGGTAGGTACCTTCATACTAAAACGATGAAATTTCAAATTTTTTTTTGTTGAGATTCTGTGTCCTAATGGTCAATTAACACCCCCCAATCTCCATACACTAAATTATTCTCAGATTTGAAGCCGAAATCTATGAAAAAAGGCACTCAGAAAAATTGAAAAATTGATAAATCACCCCAAATTGCTTAACACGATTTTATCTCAGGAACTATAAGTGCAAATGAGCTGAAATTTTCAGGGATTGTAGCCCTTTGAAAGGGATAAAATTCAGTGAAAGATTCAGCTTTCTATCTATAATAGAAAAGAAGTTATGACCTTTTAAAATTTTCCAAAATCTAAATCATAAGGTAGGTACCTTCATACTAAAACGATGAAATTTCAAATTTTTTTTTGTTGAGATTCTGTGTCCTAATGGTCAATTAACACCCCCCAATCTCCATACATTAAATTATTCTCAGATTTGAAGCCGAAATCTATGAAAAAAGGCACTCAGAAAAATTGAAAAATTGATAAATCACCCCAAATTGCTTAACACGATTTTATCTCAGGAACTATAAGTGCAAATGAGCTGAAATTTTCAGGGATTGTAGCCCTTTGAAAGGGATAAAATTCAGTGAAAGATTCAGCTTTCTATCTATAATAGAAAAGAAGTTATGACCTTTTAAAATTTTCCAAAATCTAAATCATAAGGTAGGTACCTTCATACTAAAACGATGAAATTTCAAATTTTTTTTTGTTGAGATTCTGTGTCCTAATGGTCAATTAACACCCCCCAATCTCCATACACTAAATTATTCTCAGATTTGAAGCCGAAATCTATGAAAAAAGGCACTCAGAAAAATTGAAAAATTGATAAATCACCCCAAATTGCTTAACACGATTTTATCTCAGGAACTATAAGTGCAAATGAGCTGAAATTTTCAGGGATTGTAGCCCTTTGAAAGGGATGAAATTCAGTGAAAGATTCAGCTTTCTATCTATAATAGAAAAGAAGTTATGACCTTTTAAAATTTTCCAAAATCTAAATCATAAGGTAGGTACCTTCATACTAAAACGATGAAATTTCAAATTTTTTTTTGTTGAGATTCTGTGTCCTAATGGTCAATTAACACCCCCCAATCTCCATACACTAAATTATTCTCAGATTTGAAGCCGAAATCTATGAAAAAAGGCACTCAGAAAAATTGAAAAATTGATAAATCACCCCAAATTGCTTAACACGATTTTATCTCAGGAACTATAAGTGCAAATGAGCTGAAATTTTCAGGGATTGTAGCCCTTTGAAAGGGATAAAATTCAGTGAAAGATTCAGCTTTCTATCTATAATAGAAAAGAAGTTATGACCTTTTAAAATTTTCCAAAATCTAAATCATAAGGTAGGTACCTTCATACTAAAACGATGAAATTTCAAATTTTTTTTTGTTGAGATTCTGTGTCCTAATGGTCAATTAACACCCCCCAATCTCCATACACTAAATTATTCTCAGATTTGAAGCCGAAATCTATGAAAAAAGGCACTCAGAAAAATTGATAAATTACCCCAAATTGCTTAACACGATTTTATCTCAGGAACTATAAGTGCAAATGAGCTGAAATTTTCAGGGATTGTAGTCCTCTACTGGAATAAGAATTACTGGAAATTTCAGATTCTTATCTATTCAGTGTCAATTAAGGGGTGCGATTTCTATCTGTGTTAAGAGGTCTGTTCACACAGAAATCACAAAGAGTGAATTTCATTTTTGGTTGGTTGAAACTAGTTTTTCCGATTGTTTTCAACCAATTAAAAACGCTTGTCAACAAACCTGAGATGTCACTGGTTTGAAGTTACTCACCTCTTTACTAGGTACACAAAGCGGGGTACCTTCTTTCACAATACCCGCCTCAACCATTACCCCACAAACAATGGGATCTCGCGAGTTGAAAATAAATTGTGGCAAAACTCGCAAGCGACAAGGAAAAACTGCAACGTTTTTGAATTCTTCCCTTTTCTTTTGCTTCAACTCTTCCCTGTAGGCCATGAACTTATCGAAAAGATGATAAATTATATCAGCCTGGAATACTTTGACTCCCATACTGTCAGCCATTTCTTGAGCGTCTTTTTCTATTTTAACATCAAATGCTAAAATTGTTGCAAACCTGAAAACAATCACACTTTATTCATAGTATATACATTATACAAAGAAATATTACTGAGGTTCATGCTCCAACATAATCGAGGCCCTAATGATATCCTTTTTGACAACAGGCCCTATTCTAATGCCAGAATAAGGAATTTTGCTGACTCTTAAAAATTCCAACAAGGCCTCTAGAGACCCTAAAGTAGAGGCTTGTACATATACTCCCCGCTCTTGCAACTTAATACTGGACAGGGCACTTTTAAGTTCACGTGCCACCTCATCTCTAAGCACATCAACTTCATCAGGCTTCACAGCCACATACAAATTCAAACCCGCAATGGCCTTTTCCAATTCTTTAGCAGCTATTTTTACTCCTTGAGCTGCTTTGATTTCTCTATATTCTATGTAGGCATTCTAGTAATAATTATTGGAAATAATATAACATTGATCTAAATTTTGAAAAACGCACCTTCACACGCAACTCCCTCATCGGTTGAGGCATTAGCAAAGACCTAATTTGAGTCACTATTGGACCATCAGTTCCTGCAACCAGCATCGTATCACCTTCCCTTAAAGTACCATTAACTAGAATTACGTCAATTGTAGTACCAAGACCTGGAATTGCTTTAACCTAAAAAAAAATCACGTCAATTACCAATCAAATAATGAGCCGCTTTTACCTCTAATACAGTGGCTTGCAATTCGTCAGAATACATTAGCCTTTTTGGCAATTTGACCTGACAATATTCGACAATCAAGGCCAGCAAATTGCCCATCCCTTCCCCAGTGATTGCACTAGTAGGTACCAAAGAAAAATAGGTACGAGGGTCAGGGTTTTCGTAAAACAATGCAGCATTGAGGCCTTGTTCAGCAAATTGCAAAATCACACTTTTACTTCTTTGCTCAAACTCCAACTGTGTATTAGCTGCCTGGCCTTTTAAAACATCCCTAATGTCTTTTCGGTTCATTGTTTGCCAATCATATAGCCTGTCAATTTTGTTCAAGGCCACTATAAAGGGGCATTTTTTTTGTTTCAACAAATTAATAGATTCTATTGTTTGCGGTTCCAAACCGTGCATAATATCCACAACTAAGATTGCAATATCGCAAAGGCTTGAACCTCGGTTTCTCAAATTTGAAAACGACTCGTGGCCAGGGGTGTCAATAATTAATAAGCCTGGGATTTTTAGAGTAATGTCTGATGCACCTTTGACTATGCGGATTTGTTCTTTGATTGCATCAATTGGCACGTTTGTGGCACCAATTTGTTGCGTGATTCCACCTGCTTCACCGTCTTGCACGTTGGTGCGTCTTAGTTTGTCTAAAATTTTCGTCTTGCCTGTGTCTACGTGGCCTAAGACGCAGACAATTGCAGCGCGCAGGTTGTCAACTGTTTGGTTTTTCAAGGCGTCTTCTTTACGTTTTCTTATGCGTTCTTGGGCCCGTTCTCTAGCCTTTTCTGCAACTGTTCTATCGTCTTCGTCACTTTCTGAGTCTGATTCGCTGTTTGTTTCAGATTCAGAGTCTTCGTCTTCTTCCTCTTCTGAACTAGAGTCTTTAGTTGGTGCATTAACAGGCTCAGATTCTTCATCAGATGATGCATCCCAAGTATCTTTAACATCCTCTGATGGTTCTTCTTCGATTTGTGGTACTGATGCTTCTTCAACTTTAGGTTCTTCTATTGGTGCATCTTCAGGTTTGGGTTCTTCTAATTTAGGTTGGTCTTTTTTCTGTTTAGTTTGCTTGATTCTGGTGCCAAGTCTTGGTTTTTTCTCGCCCACATCTGGTAATGCAACTCCTTGGGCTTTCAAGCTGTCAATCATAGCTTGGGCTCTAGCTCTGTCAGCTTTTTGTTTGGCTGTCAATAGTTTGCCTTCAGCTTTCAGTCTTTCTTTGCGTTCTTTTTCTTTTTGCTTCTTTTTGTCTTTGCGTTCTTGTTCCAGGCGGAGGGCTTCTAGCCTAGCGTTTTCGGCTTCGTCTTCTCGTTGTATGCGTTCTTCTTCTTCGCGTTTTAGTCGTTCTTCTTCGTCTTTGATTTTTTTTAGGGCCTCTTGCATTGCCGCTATGGTTTTTTTGGCGGGGCCTTTTTTCGTTTTCGCGTCTTTGTCTTCCTTGTCTTTGGCTGGTTTTTTCTTTTTCTTGCCTTGTTCCTCTTCTGCGTTGTTTTCGGTTTGGGGTTGTTCTGCATTGTCTTCAGCTTCAACGCTGTCTAGTTTCTTGACGGTTGTTTTAGTGGCTAATTTTTTTTGTTTCTCTCTTTCTTTTTTCTCCTTCTTTTTTTGAGCCGCTGTTTTTACAGTACCTTCTTCATTAGTTTCTTCTGATTCTTCCACTTCTTTAGCTTTCTTTTTGCTTTTTTTAACTTTATTAATTTCTGGTTCTTCTTCTTCTTCTTTTGCTTCTGCTTCTGCTTCTTTTTTCACTCCCCCAGTGTATTCCATTTCTAATTCGGCCAAAGCCCGCTCTAGTTCCTCATCATCGTCTTCCCCCTTTTTCCTTTTACTTTTTTTGCCCTTTTTGTTTTGGGTTTTTGCCGCCGGTTTTTTTTCTTCTTCGCTCTCACTCTGTTGCATCGCTGGTGGTTCTTCGTCGCCGCTGTCCTCTACCTGTAGAAGGGCGAACGAGCCTTGGACTTTGGCTGCTTCCACTTCTGAGTCATCTTCTGATTCTGTCAGTTTTTTCGGTTTTTTCTTTGTCTTTGCTGGATTGTTTTCGGTGTCTTCCTTGGTTCTGGAAATGGAAATTGATCGAGTTGTTTAGGGCCGGTTTATTCATCTTCTGATAATGCAATCTGATAGTTATTCGCTGACCAATAGAATTATGGAGCTTTTCAGATGGTTACCAGCAAGTTTATCTGAAGATGAATAAATCGGGCCTTATACAGGAAATAAAATACATTCAGAAATAAGACATTTATACAGGGAAATACAATACAAAATAATATTGTAACTATGTATTTTCAACCAATCATGGTGCGTCTGAACTCTGAACTGTCATCAGTCTATTCTAATGGAGTTTGAAGAGGTAGGTTGACTGATAACTTTCATGAGGTGCCTAAACATAATGCAAATCTCCATTAGGCACCCTAGATGACGTCATCTGTTTTCCATTAGAGTAAAAATCAAAGGAGGAGAAGCCAATGACGACATACAAACCTGCGCGAAACTGGTCGGTCCTCTTTCTCTTGAGACTGACGTCACTAAAAGCCAGTAGCGATGTGTCGCTTCCTTGGTATAAACTCAAGGTAGTTTGAAAGAAGTAGGTTGCCCGATAACTTCAATGACGTCATCTGTGGTAATAAATACAGGATACAATTTACTTGCCACGCTACAAAATTCCGATTTTTTGGTATTTTGTATCTGTCTCTTATACCTCAAGTCATTGTACTTGAATGAAAGCCCGTAAAATTCTCTATTGAATGACGTCATAAAATTTGACATCTGGCAAACTATCGAAAAGTAACTGGACTTAAAACTATCGACACTTAAAAAAAAAAGTTACATTGTGACCCATTTTGGGTCATTTTTCGCTTATGACAAATCCCAACCCCCAAGACATTGTACTTAAATGAAAGTCCGTAAAATTCTCCATTGGATGACGTCATAAAATTTGACATCTGGCAAACTATCTAAAAGTAACTGGACTTAAACTATAGACAATTAAAAAAAAAGTTACATTGTGACACATTTTAGGTCATTTCTCGCTTATGACAAATCCCATTCCGCAAGTCATTGTACTTGAATATAATCGCGAAAAATTCTCTATTGAATGACGTCATGAAATTTGACTTCTGTCAAACTATCGAAAAGTAACTGCACTAACTAAGGGACAAACCACTTAGGAATTCTTTGCCAAAAATGTGAGAAATTTGTAGGAAATTTAGAGAAATTTGTGAGGAATTTGAAGGAACTCATCCGAATTTATGAGAATTTTGGGAATTTATAAGGAATTTGGAGGAATTTATGGGGAATTTGGGAGAATTTGTGAGGAATTTATGGGGAATTTAAAGGAAATTGTCAAATTTAAAAAATTCAAAAGAATAATGAATACAGTTTTTGTAGGCTGATTTCCAAGATTTTTCATGGTGTTATTTTTCACTGGAAAACTTTGGGAAAATAAACTTCTCACCTTCCTCTTCACATGCAAAAAGTTTCAAAATTTTCCCTTCCAGGAAAACTTTGAAATGTAAGACTGTATTTTCCACTAATTCAGTTTATGTAGGTTGATTTCCAAGATTCCTCATGTTGTAATTTTCCACTGGCAAATTTGAAATTTTGGAAAAATGAGCATCTTACTTTCCTCTTTACATGCAAAAAGTTTCAAAATTTTCCCTTCACTAATTTTCCAGGAAAATTTTGAAATGTGTGAGACTGTATTTTCAATTAATTCAGTTATTGTAGGTTGATTTCCAAGATTTTTCATGTTGTTGTTTTTTACTGGAAAAATTTGAAATTTTGGGAAAATGAGCTTCTCACCTTCCTGTTTCCATGCAAAAAGTTCCGAAATTTTCCTTTCGCTAGTTTTCCAGGAAAACTTTGAAATGCGTGAGACTGTATTTTCAATTAATTCAGTTATTGTAGGTTGATTTCCAAGATTTTTCATGTTGCTGTTTTCCACTGGAAAAATTTGAAATTTTGGGAAAATGAGCTTCTCAGCTTCCTCTTTACATGCAAAAAGTTTCAAAATTTTCCCTTCACTAGTTTTCCAGAAAAACTTTAAAATATGTGAGACTATATTTTCAATTATTTCAGTTATTGTAGGTCGACTTCTAAGATTCCTTATGTTGTAATTTTCTACTGGAAAAATTTGAAATTCTGGGAAAATGAGCTTCTCACCTTCCTTTTTACATGCAAAAAGTTTCAAAATTTTCTCTTCTCTAGTTTTCCAGGAAAACTTTAAAATTTGTGAGACTGTATTTTCAATTAATTCAGTTATTGTAGGTTGATTTTCAAGATTTTTCATGTTGCTGTTTTCCACTGGAAAAATTTGAAATTTTGGGAAAATGAGCTTCTCAGCTTCCTCTTTACATGCAAAAAGTTTCAAAATGTTCCCTCCTCTAGTTTTCCAGGAAATCTTTGAAATGTGTGAGACTGTATTTTCAAATAATTCAGTTATTGTAGGTTGATTTCTAAGATTTTTCATGTTGCTGTTTTTCACTGGAAAAATTTGAAATTTTGGGAAAATGAGCTTCTTACCTTCTTCTTTACATGCAAAAAGTTTCAAAATGTTCCCTTTATTAGTTTTCCAGTAAAACTTTGAAATGTGTGAGACTGTATTTTCAACTAATTCAGTTTTTGTAGGTTGATTTCCAAGACTTTTCATGTTATTATTTTTGACTGGAAAAATTTGAAACTTTGGGAAATTGAGCTTCTTACCTTCTTCTTTACATGCAAAAAGTTTCAAAATGTTCCCTTTACTAGTTTTCCAGTAAAACTTTGAAATGTGTGAGACTGTATTTTCAACTAATTCAGTTTTTGTAGGTTGATTTCCAAGACTTTTCATGTTATTATTTTTGACTGGAAAAATTTGAAACTTTGGGAAATTGAGCTTCTCACCTTCCTCTTTACATGCAAAAAGTTTCAAAATTTTTCCTTCACTGGTTTTCCAGGAAAACTTTGAAATATGTGAGACTGTATTTTCAATTAATTCAGTTATTGTAGGTTGATTTCCAAGATTTTTCATGTTGTTATTTCTTACTGGAAAAATTTGAAACTTTTGGAAAATGAGCTTCTCACCTTCCTCTTTACATGCAAAAAGTTTCAAAATTTTCCTTTCACTAGTTTTCCAGGAAAACTTTAAAATGTGTGAGACTGTATTTTCAACTAAGTCAGTTTTTGTAGGTTGATTTCCAAGATTTTCATGTTGCTGTTTTCTACTGAAAAAATTTGAAATTTTGGGAAAATGAGCTTCTCGCCTTTTTACATACAAAAAGTTTCAAAATTTTCATTTTTTTTAGAGGAATTTGTGGGGAATTTGGAGAAGTTCGTGGTGTGGTATTTGGAGGAATTTGTGATGGGATATTGGGAGAAATTTGGAGGAATTTGTAGGAATTTTGAGGAATTATTATGCGTAAAAAATTCCTCTTTGAGGAATTGTTTGCACCAATTCTGGGATGGTGGTTCACCCCTTGGCTCTAACCCTTCCTCCAATAGAATTAGTTATTAATTTCCTGTATAAATCCAAGGTTGTTTGAAAGAGGCAGGTAACTTTAGTGACGTCATCTAAGGGTTCCAAACATAATGCAAATCTTAATCAAGTCCTCCTGATGACGTCATCTATTTTCAATTACCAAACCAAGGTTCCTAAAGTTAATAGATTGTCTGGTGATGGGTAACTTGATGACGCATCTGGGGTGCCTTATGGAGATTTGTATTATGTTGAGGCACCTCAGATGACGTCATATAGTTATCAGGCAACTTACCTTCTTCAAATAACCTTGTTACCAGACAACCTATTAACTTCAGGAACCTTGGTATAAACCCAACTTGCAACAAAATGCATCCTCTAAAGGCCGGTTTATTCACCCTCTGATTAACTATCAGGTAAATTCAACTGGTAGATAGTTACCAGCAAGTTTATCTGAAGATTAATAAACCTGGCCTAATGCATATAATAAAATAAGACAAGAAATAAGGTGTTTATACAAAATAAAATTATTTTCAACCAATCATTACAGGTTTGAACTCTGAACTGTCATCGGTCTAATCCAATGGCATTTCTCTTTGGTAGATTTAATGCGCACTGAGTATATTTCCATCTCTTTCTTTCAGCATGTTAAAGAAACAGATAGAAATACATTTTCTTCTATTTCCTGTGTATAAATGCAGCCTTTTAGGACTTTGCCGCTTCACTCCTTTTGAAAAATTCACCCCCCAAGGGCTGGTTTATAGGGCGATTTGGCGTTGTCTTAATTCAATATGGCGCCGTGGGAACAACAGGGCACATTTACATTCAAATTGCAATCAATTGAAATTGAATTGTAGAGGCACCAAATTGTTATGCCCACGTCGCCATTTTGAATTATCAGCTGATTCGAATTGCCTAATTTACCTTCTGGTAATGATTATGCAATCTGTAATCTCATTGGCAGGCCAGTTAGGTATCTGCTAACCAATGGAATTATAGAAAGATAAATTTATTTTGCAGATAGTTACCAGCTGAAGATAAATAAACTGGGCCTAAGAAAAATAAGAAATAAGGCTTTTGTACACAGAGAAATATAAAATACAATAAGAATTATTTTCAACCAATCAGCACATGTGAACTGTCATCTAAAATGGCATAGATTTAGTGGGCACTGAGTGTATTTCCATCTCTTTCTTTTAGCCTGTTAAAGACACAGATAGAAATACATTTCCTTATAGGACGATTTGACATTCTGTCAGTTCAATATGACGTCGCGGGAATAACACATATGACAACTGTAAAGGCATGTTTACATTTAATTCTTATGCAAATTGGCATTAAATGTAAAGGTACCTTCACCATCAAGTCAAGTTTGTTATACCCACGTTGCCATCTTGAATTATCAGCTAATTTGAATTGTCTAATTATATTTCCCACCTTTTTAAGACTGTCGCTTCACTTTTTTTTTCAAATTTACTCCCTAAAGGCCAATTTATTCACTTTTTGATGATGCAATCTGTAATCTTATTGGCTGGCCAGTTATTTGCTAACCAATGGAATAAAAAAAAAAAATGATACATCACATCAGTCTGATCTAAAATGGTGTAGATTTTATGCACTCCTGAGTATATTATTGTCATCTCTTTTTCTTAGCTAGTTAAAAACACAGATAGATATATATATTTTCTTATTAATTATTAGGGCTTTGCCACTTCACCCTTTACACTGGTATACATAACCTCACTTTTATTTTTCGAGTAAGTAACTCACTTTTGCGGCTTGGATTTCTTGCTGCTGGCTTTCTCAATTAAGCCCTGAGTGTCGCCTTCTACCTCCGAATCGCTAAAATTCCGAAAATTACGTATATTATTGGGATTACAATGGGTGTATAAGACTTTACCTTTCGTCGCCCTTGGTCCCTTTACGTTGTTGCTTTTTCGCCTTACCCATTTCGTACCTGTACTGGATTCGCTTACTACGGGTTTGTGGAGCTCTAGCATAAGTGAAAAATGCGATTTTCCAACAAAAGCTGTTTCTATTTTTCTTCTGACCAAAATAGACGTGCAAAGGAGAATAATTGAATATTGAATAGTGATTTCTCCTGGCTGGGTTTTTTGATTTTTGGCCGGTTGGCAACTTTGTCCGTGTCCTTGTTTGTCTTATGCTTTTGAAGCGAAATAAAAATAGTCCTAGATGCAGGAATCTGTTTATTGTTAATTGGGCTTATAGTTGATAGATGGCGTCACATTAGGTTTATGTAGATTTGTATAAGGGACACTAGGAGTTACTTGATTTAAATTTATTTATTAATACTTATAAAATATGATTATTAAAACAAAAATATTGCAAAACAAACAAATTTTTAATTAATTAACAAAATTTCTATCTTTGGAAATTAGCTAAAAGTGTAGGTATACATAATTCGAACATGTGTGCGTTCATGCGGCCGTTCATTACCCATTCGGTATGCATATATTGGGTAATCAAGTTAAATTCCTAAGTATTGCATTACAAATTATTATCTTTTACTTCATTTGGGTCCGAGAATATTGGCTTATCTGTAGGTCCTTCGATTACAATTCCTTTAGCACCAAAAACGAACCTTAGAAAGGGCCGCATTGATTCCAACAACCTTTGTAGTCTTATGGCTGAGTTCTGAAATTTGATTTTATTAATCCATGGGTTTATTGTAAAATTATACACGTACCACCATGTAATCGCCCACTGTAGTAGACAAGTTGGTAACCAAAGTAAATGAAGAACCGAATAATTCGCCTGGTAGTTCTAGAGATACCGGTTTGCCTGGGGTGAAAAGGACCACATCTTCGGTGGTTGTTGGGCCCTTGGGGGTTGTTGTTCGGTCCCAAGCGAAACCGTAAAGGGCCGATTTAGGAGAGCGACGTTGTCTCTGAAACAATTAAAATAATTGAAGATTGTTTTCAGTCAATATTCAGAAAACTTCCTTTTGAAAACTTCTGAAAAATCAGAGGAACTCAAAACATTCAGGAATTATTAAATATTCTGGATGGTTTTTTTGTGACCTTACAATTAATTTAGATGCGGAGTTGTTGGTTTGTAATAAGTCAGTAAATTTGTATTGACCAACGTTTTGACTAATATATGGTCATCACTTGTGTTAACATTAAAAAATAATGAAAAATAAGGAACATAATGGTCGTGTTTAATGGTATATCACAGATAAATGGCAACTTCTTTATATTGGCGTTGTTGAAGGATTAATGTTAGTAGGTACCGTATCAGCAGTCGGTACCAAGAATTGCGATCTTGAGATATGAAAAACACAAGACAGTACATTTTAATTTGTTACCAGGTGTGCTTACAGTCACAGAGTATGTTGTAGTATGAGGTACTTAATCCATCAACATCCTGTTTTTTGTCTTTTTCAATAAGAATCATTTCATTAGTCTCTTCTTTAAATTTGTCTGCTTATAGAAAGTATTTGAGTTTGATCAAAATTAAATGAAAGTTCTCTACGTGTTCACCTAACGTTGTTTTATTTTTAGAGTTGATTATATCCATATAGGTCTCACGCTACGTTTATGCTGCACACTGCGTTTATGCACCCCGTTTATTATTTCAAAAACTACACGTTTCAGGTGAGTGTTTTATTTGAATCGGTAGTTCAACAGTATAGGTACTGGTTGCGGAACTCGCTGTTTTTGACCCACAGAGATCCACCCATAAGTTCCGCAATAATCCACTTATTTGTACTACAATAACTTATTATATAAGAATTAGTAATGTTACTTTACCAAACTAGTAATATATTTGTGACAAGTTATTTAAGTACAAACGAGTGAATTGTTGCGGAGCTTATGGGTGGACCTCTGCGGGACGAGCTTCCGCAACCATCTACTTACCAAAATATTGTTGAACTATTCAAGTAAGACATTTACCTAAAACGTGTAGTTTTTAAACTAATGAGAATAACTTCATGAGTGAGTCATGCTAGTATCATAATTAAACAACATATTGATAAATAGATGGCTGCGGAACTCGCTGCGCTCGTCCCGCAGAGGTCCACCCATAAGTTCCGCAACAATTCACTCGTTTGTACTTGAATAACTTGTCACCATATATTACTAGTTTGGTAAAGTAACATTATACTAATTCCTGTTAATAGGCACATTGACAAAAAGTGGATACTTGAACAGTTCAACAATATATTGGTAAGTAAATGGCTGCGAAACTCGCTGCGCTCGTCCCGCAGAGGTCCACCCATAAGTTTCGAATCAACAATCCACTCATTTATACTTGAATAATTTGTCACATTATATTACTAGTTTAGTAAAGTAGCATTACTAATTCCTATTGATAGACAAATTGACAAAAAGTGAATAATCTTACAACTTACAAATTCTGACTTTATATAATACGTTATTGTTCAAGTACAAATAAGTGGATTATCGCAGAACTTATGGGTGGACCTCTGCGGGACGAGCGCAGCGAGTTCCGCAGCCATTTACTTACCAATATACTATTGAACTATTCAAATAAGACATTTACCAGAAACGTGTAGTTTTTAAACTAATGAGAATAACTCACATTTGAGTGAGTCAGGTTAGTATCGTAATTGAACAACATATTGTTGAGTAGATGGCTGCGGAACTCGCTGCGCTCGTCCCGCAGAGGACCACCCATAAGTTCCGCAACATTTCACTCGTTTGTACTTGAATAACTTGTCACAATATATTACTAGTTTGGTAAAGTAACATTACTAATTCCTGTTAAAAAGTAAATTGACAAAAAGTGGATAATCTTACAAATTTTGACTCTATATAATAAGTTATTGTTCAAGTACAAATAAGTGGATTGTTGCGAAACTTATGGGTGGATCAATGCGGGACGAGCGCAGCGAGTTCCGCAGCCATCTATTCATCAATATATTGTTGAACTGTTCAAACAAGACATTCACCTGAAACATGTAGTTTTTAAACTAATGAGAATAACTCATTTAAGTGAGTCAGGTTAGTATCGTATTTAAACAACATATTGATGAATAGATGGCTGCGGATAATAAATTATTGTTCAAGTATGTACTTCTATGGGAATTCCACAGAAATTCTATATGATGTAATTCCACAAAAAAATTTCAGAATGCCATTATAAAATTTCATTATAATGCCCGTATTACATCTGTGTATTTTCCTGTGTATTTATTCATGTAGTTCAGGGTGACAACCGCACATAAATCAGCATTATGAAAAACAAAATAAAGTTGGCACCCTGAACTACATGAATAAATACACGGAAAAATACACAGATGTACGGGCATTTTTAGAAATTTTACTATAAAATTTCGAAGTCATTCAATGGGAATTTCGCAAAAATTCCATTCAATTTCACAAGAAGTTTTCGAAATTCCCAAAAAAAAAATTCAAATTACTGCATTCAATTTTGTAGAGACTTTTATAATTCCACGGAAACTTCATTTTAAAATTTACTACATTTCCTTGTAATTCCACTCAAAATTCCATGAAATATTTTTAAATTACACCAGAAGATTTCATTAAATTCCTCAGATTTTTATGGAAATTTTACTGCAAGATTTTATGAAATTTTCCGGAATTCCACTATAATAAATATCTCAAGAAATTCCTCCATCAATATCTTAATTAACAGATTTATAAAGAATTTAATTGGCCCTTATTAAAGCTTAGTTACATTGAAATCGGATGAAAATTAACGGAGCTGCGAGGCAAAAAGTGTCTTAGTGTAATTTTTGAAACTTGAAACTTCAATTTTGAAACTCGTCAGCTGTAAAACGGTTGTCACTAAATTAAAATATCATAGAACAGGTTTGTAGAATATTTAATTGACTTTAATTAAAGTTTAATTATATTAAAATTGGATGAAAATTAACGAAGCTATGAAGCAAAAAACTGTAAATCGACGGGAATTGCGTGGAATTCCACTTAAATTTCATGTAATTCCCTGTAAATTTCACGGAGTTTCATTGAAATTATATTTAATTCAACGGAAATTCCTCAAAAAAAATTATATAATTACATAAAAAAATTACGAAATTTCACTGAAATTTTATGTTATTAGCCGGGAAATTTTCATTAGGTATTTCAATAAAACTACATGTAATAGCATGGAAATTTTTTAGAATTTCAGTGTTTTTTTTTTGTAAATCGTCGGAAATTTCCGGAGTTCTACTTAAATTTCGTAAGAATTTTACGGAGTTTTACTGAAATTCCATGTATTCAACCGGGAATTTCTCGAAATTTTACTCAAATTTCATGTAATTTTGAGGAAAATTTTTGGAAATTTCACTGAATATTTAGTTATCAGGAGAGAATTCCTCGTCATTCCAATAAAACTTTATGTTATTATATGGGATTTCTTCGAAATTGCACTAAAATTTAATGTAATTCCATGGAAATTCCAATAAAACTTTAAATAATTTTCCGAAAATTAACTGGAATTCCATGTAAATGGACGAGAATTCCTTGGAATTTTAATGAAATTTCATATATGTACAACAAATAAGTAACTTATTGCGAAACTTATGGGTGGACCTCTGCGGGACGAGCGCAGCGAGTTCCGCAGCCATCTACTTACCAATATACTGTTAAACTGTTCAAGTAAGACATTCACCTGAAACGTGTAGTTTTTGGATTAATGAGAAAATTTCACAACTGAGTGAATCAGGTAAGTATTGTACTTGAACAACATATTGGTGAATAGATCGCTGGGTCCACCCATAAGTTCTGCAACAATGCACTCGTTTGTACTTGAATAACTTGTCACAATATATTACTAGTTTGGTAGAATAACATTACTAATTCCTGTTGAATGGCAAATTGACAAAAAGTGGATAATCTCACAAATTTTGACTTGAAGTTATTGTTCAAGTACAAATAAGTGGATTGTTGCGGAACTTTTGGGTGGACCTCCAGCCACATACTCATCAATATACTGACCTCACCTGAAATGTGTAGTTTTTAAACTAATGAAAATAACTCACATTTGAGTGAGTCAGGTTAGTATCGCAATTAAACAACATATTGATAGATGGCTGCGGAACTCGCTACGCTCGTCCCGCAGAGGTCCACTTATAAGTTCCGCAACAATTCACTCGTTTGTACTTGAATAACTTGTCACAATATATTACTAGTTTGGTAAAGTAACATTACTAATTCTTGTTAAAAGGCAAATTGATAAAAAGTGGATAATCTCACAAATTTTGACTTTATACAATAAGTTATTGTTCAAGTACAAATAAGTGGATTATCGCAAAGCTTATGGGTGGACCTCTGCGGGACGAGCGCAGCGAGTTCCGCAGCCATCTACTCACCAATATACTGTTGAACTGTTCAAGTAAGACTTTCATCTAAAACGTGTAGTTTTCAAACTAATGAGAATAACTCACATTTGAGTAAGTCAGGTTAGTATCGTAATTAAACAACATATTGATGAATAGATGGCTGCGGAACTCGCTGCGCTCGTCCTGCAGAGGTCCACCTATAAGTTCCGCAACAATTCACTCGTTTGTACTTGAATAACTTGTCACAATATATTACTAGTTTGGTAAAGTAACATTACTTATTCTTGTTAAAAGGCAAATTGACAAAAAGTGGATAATCTTACAAATTTTGACTTTATACAATAAGTTATTGTTCAAGTACAAATAAGTGGATTATCGCAAAACTTATGGGTGGACCTCTGCGGGACGAGCGTAGCGAGTTCCGCAGCCATCTACTCACCAATATACTGTTGAACTGTTCAAGTAAGACATTCACCTGAAACGTGTAGTTTTTAAACTAATGAGAATAACTCACATTTGAGTAAGTCAGGTTAGTATCGTAATTAAACAACATATTGATGAATAGATGGCTGCGGAACTCGCTGCGCTCGTCCCGCAGAGGTCCACCTATAAGTTCCGCAACAATTCACTCGTTTGTACTTGAATAACTTGTCATAATATATTACTAGTTTGGTAAAGTAACAGTACTAATTCCTGTTGAAAGGCAAATTGACAAATAGTGGATAATCTTACAAATTCTGACTTTATATAATAAGTTTAGGATCCTGAGGATGATTATATATTTGTCGAAACGTTGGTCAATTATACAACAAATTCAATTCTTTAAGCTGTTTCACTGACCTATTACTACCAACCAACAACTCCGCCTCTTAATCGTTAAATATTATATAGGTACTCTGGTTTTTTTAGTTTCAGGGACACATATTAAATGTGTCAGAAATTAATTCATTGGCGTGCCTACATAATAATTAACGAAATATTGTTAATGCTGGGTGGATTTTCTTGATTAAGTTTGTGAAAATTTTGGCTATTGAAAGTGTTCAGTGACTTCAAATTTCCAGGATTTATGGAATAGAGATTCATAAGGCAAACTTTAAAATTCTAAATGTTCAATTTGGTTTGATTCAAAAGTCAATATTTGTCTATTCCCGGCTCTTGATTGGGTATTCAGTTGATCCAATTGACTGACTTTGTTTCTGAGTTCTAAATTCACAATTTCAGTCACAGTGGCGGCCCGTGACTTTTATTATGAGGGAGGCAACCCAAAAAATGGGTGATTAAAATTATATCAAAATACATTTTCTGGCATTTTTACAAATGTGGCAGTGCCTCTGACGAGTCGCCACTGTTCAGTCATCGGGTCGCTTTGTAAGGGGCTTAAAATTCAATGGCTTTGATTTATTATACCTAATTATTAAAAAATACCCTCGCCCTACAGGCTCGTGATTAAATAAACCCTCGCCCTGCGGAATCGAAATTAAATAAACCCTCGCCCTGCGGGCTCGTGATTAAATAAACTCCGGCCCTTCGGGCCGGATCGGAAATAAATTTAACGTTTAGGGTGCTTATTCTTGAAACAGAGAAGCAGCATTCCCAAAAAAACGAGTATTCTGTCTTTCTCAACGATATACCACTGATAATATAAGTAACAAAGACGTAACACTCGTTCTTCTGGGATCGCTGCTCCCTTGTTTCAAAAACAAGGACCCAGGAGATGAAATTGGGACAGAAACATCTAGATTTCTATGCAAGTGAATAATTGTTTTTCAGTTTTTTTTCCAAATTTTTTTGTTTATTTTATTATTTAACTTTTTCTTATTCCTTGTCCTGAGACTTCAAATTTGTGCTTATAAAAGTTTCTCGCGGGAAAGTTTTGGGTAATTTTGATTTTCTCCATGTTCTTTGGGCTACTGAATCCGAATCTGAGGTTGGCTAACAAAATTACGTGACGCAACATTGAAAAAAATGTAAAAGACGTGAAAAAAATTGTAATTTTGGCAGTCTTTTGCGTATAATTCGAAAACTATTAATTTTTTCAAGAAAATACCTCTATTCAAAATGAAAGCAAATTAAATTTTCTATAAATTTCATGTATTAACTTTTTTTGTAGTGCTCAAACACTAGTTGAAAATGGTCGTATTTAACCTCAAATTCGGATTTAGTATCCCAAAAAAACATGGAAAAATCGAAACTATCCCAAAACTTTTGTACCAAAAATACTATTTGATTAGACTATGTATTTTTTTTTTTTTTATTTCTTTCTTATTCTGATATATCTTGTATATATTATTTTGAACTTTGTATGTAACATTTTACTTCGAAAACAATTTGAGAAACAAAGTTCAAAATACTATTATAATAGGAAATAAAACACAAAAATAAATAAATTTTAAAATATAAATAACATTTATTTATAACTATATACAAAGGCAAAATACAAAAATGTACAAAATAATTCGTCTAAAAAGTTATCTCAAATTGTGAAATAAAATATTACATTTAAATGGCTTTCCTCGAAGATTACCTACTTTGAAAAAATTTAGACATTGACTAGAATGTAACTCAATAATTAATTAAATATTCATGAAAAATTAATGTAATCTCAAGGCTGCTTTTTTTTAAAGTGAATTATCTATTTGTGTCCTAGTAGGGCGCCCAAATTGAATCCGCCCCCGTGATTGGAACCCGAACCGGAACCGCTGCCCAATTTGCTAGTGACAATGTTCAACAATGGAGCAGCGGCTTCCAATTTGGAACCAATCGCACTGGACAGGATGCTGGAAAGAGATACAACTGGATCGCTTGGAGGTTCAATGTGGTGCGCCTTGTTTTTGGCGATGTTTTGCTTGTCCAGCTGGTCCACCCAAGCGGTTTTTTGGTCGATAAACTTATTGATTTTCTGTTGATTGGTATATGTGATAACTTTGCACATTATTGTGGATTTTGTATAATACTTACGTCAAAAACGAAGCCTAAAATAGCGTTTTTAACTCCGACCACTGCCTCGATTTTTCGCTTGTCCCTAAACTGATCGTCATTATATTCCTGTAATAATTTTATTCTTGTAATAATAATAGCCGCATAGTAGGTAGGTAGTTATCTAATCGAATATTTTAGATAGTGAAACATTCTAAAGCAGCGTACTTGGCTGCTACATGGAAAGTGACCAGCCTTCGAATGAGAAAAAAATCGACTGCATTAGGTTTAAAAATTATTATGAGCACTAAAAACCCATATGCAATCGTGAGTTGGCTGGTGGTTACGTAAACGGAATCTTCACTTTTACTTTCTTTTGTTAATAATTTTGGTCATTTTGATGATTATGATCTCAATAATTATTTATTCTAAACAGACCTTTATTATTGGAATTCTCGAATTGTTGGGCAAATTTCTTTGGGGTCACGGTGAACCACTTAGGCAATTAAATGAGGATTATATCGATATTGATTAGGTAATTGAGAAAACTTGTAGGTTATTTTGAATTTACTAGTTGATTTGGGAATGTATGGGCAAATTTATTAGAAGGTTATTAGATTTTTATATTAACTTTCTGTAGAGTCCTTTGAGTATAATCTATTTCAGGACCTTGTGGCGTGCCTAAATAAGGGTACCAATGTTACATTTGCTTGAGAATGTTGATATTAAATTGGTACTGAGCCCTCCGGGTACCCCATAGACCGCAAACCAATGAGTATATAAAATGTATATCAGGTATACATAAAGCGTGTTCCAAGAAAGCCTGGAAGAGACATAATTTGGATTCGAAATCTTCCTTCATAAAAATTGAAGGGTTGTTCCTGGCTCTTGAATTTTTCTAAGTTTGTAATGCCAGGTCCTTGAGTTTTCTGTATGTTTCCATTTGGAAAACAAACAAACATTCAGGAGCCTGAAATTAACAAATAAATCAAGGAAAAAATAAGTAATAATGAAGAAACTTTCGCCCTACAGGCTCGTGATTAAATAAACCCTCGCCCTGCGGGCTCGTAATTTAGTAAACTCTCGCCCTGCGGGCTCGAGATTCATAAAACCCTCGCCCTGCGGGCTCGGGATTAAATAAACTCCGGCCCTTCGGGCTCGTAATTTAATATACTCTCGCCCTGCGGGCTCGGGATTAAATAAACTCCGGCCCTGCGAGATCACAAACCTGGAGGGCAGGAGTTCATTTATTCACAAGCTCGTAGGGTGAAGGTTCCAGAATCTTAAATATTTGTTTCATTCCAACCGAAAACATACAGGAAACTCAAGGGCCTGGCCTCACAAAATTTGGAAAATTTGGGAACCAGGAACCAAAATAAACATAGTTCAAAAGCCTTTCAACTCTAGTACAAAAGCATTCTTGCATATCATCAGAACACATATATTTTGACAAGAAAACCCTGGAATTGAAAAAAAAATCTATAGAAAAACATGACCTTGGAACCCAAAAATAGTTCAAATTTCAAGTTATTTATATCAAAATTAGCCCTTTGATTGGTTCAAATATATCCTTATGAATAACTATCTTGAATTAATGTCGACTCCTTTAGGTATGTCACAAAATCAATTAGTACCTATACTTATTGAGAAAAATTCAAAAATTCTACAAAGAATACAGGGCGTCAAGCTGTAAAGCAGGTACCACCCTCTTGTAACTTTTTAATATTTGATCATACATAAAAAAAGTTACAAGGGATGGTACTTCATAACTTGCCACCCGGTACCAACTCACTAAACTTAAGGCCACAGTGAGACAAAACAACAAAATTTCTGCTTACATGTGAACCGTGAGGATCTATGCTGGGATCGGCGTCCCGTTTTTCCAACGTCCGGCACTCGGTTCCAGCGAAAACAAGGCACACCAGGACGGCTACTGACGTCCACAGAATCTGTTTCATTATAATGGTTCTGGAAAAAGAAAACAAATGTTTTTAGTTTCTTAACCTCTCGTATAAGTATCCACTTTTACTTTCTATATACTCTAATGTATTTATTTTTTTGTTATAGTGCCTTGCAAAAAAAAACAAATAAGCCGCACGGTACTACTGATACAAATACGATTAACCCTTTGCGTTATTAAAGGGTAGGGGTACTACCAAACAACAAAAATAATTAAGTAAATTATGGGTGTCTTACACTATACGTAGCTGGTTCTCAACTGGCGAATGCGGCGTGCCGAACGTTAAACTTCTTATTTCAAAGAACCCATATGTAGGTCGACGGAGGCCGAAGAACCAAACGAGCTAAAGCGAGTAGACGTTTGGGTACTCTTTGGCTAACGTGTGAACCGAGGTCAAGGAAACACTTGCAGTTTTGTTTTTGGGAAAATGATAATGATGATCTTGTTGTGTGAGAGTAATTCTTTTGGATTTGGGCCGGGATGATCACTGACCAAAGTTTTTTGGTACATGGTTGTATGTATGATTTGAGCATCACAGCCGGTGATAATTCAAATATAACAGAATGCTTTTTGGATTGAAAAACGCCCCAGCAACCTTCCAAAGAGTGATTCGTTGAATAATTTCTCTATGTAACCGAACTGCAACCACCAATATAAAAGATGCAGCTCGGGTTCTTAGATACTGTATAATTTATGCGTCGGTACATTTTCCAGACAGGGATGTTTTGAAGAACACGACAAAAACACACTTTCGAGTATTTTCTTATTGTATATTACTATAATAATAATTTTGTTAGTGGCCGGTTTATTCAACTTCTGATAAACTGTTAGATAAACAATCTGATGGATAAAAACGTAATCTGTAATGCCAATTATCCACTGACCAATAGACATATAGAACTTTAAATTCATCTTGCAGATTGTTACCAGCAAGTTTATCTGAAGATGATTAAATCAGGCTTAAATAAACTATATTTCGTGTCTTGAATTTACAGTTCAGATGTGTGATAAACTGATAAATGGTGGTTTAGGCAGGTATTCGTTTATTCCTAAAACCACATACTTTGTGCCTGTGTAGTTTCCTGTAGTGCGTCTCAATAATGGGTCAAAAAAGATATTTGTGTAGTAGCTCAATTTCAAGCGGAACCTCAAATGATTCAGATTCATCTTCTGGAAAATACAAAAGGAAATCAAGCCGCAAGCGCTCTTATGATAAACCCTTATACAGGGGTAAGTCAAAAAGGAACAACGGTGATCCATCCAGAAAAGAAGTTAGTGGGGTCATACACCAATGAAACATCAAACATGCAACATGCAACTTGCGACATGAAGTAAATACCCCAGATAGTTTGATGCTGTATATATATGCAATGTAAATGAGCTCCTGCGGATGCCATCTGGACTTTTAAATGCCCCTGCGGTTTTTCAGAGAACAATAAACCAAGTCTTGAGCTCAACACGAAGCCAACAATAATTGCAGAGTGTCAAGAAAATTAAAAAAGATAATCAAAATCAAACCAATCCCAATCTCAATACTAGCGATTTCAAACAGTTACTTCACTAAGGATATTTGGTGTATATAGCCAGGGATAACCAAAAGACAACTAAATGAGAATTCGGGATAGCCGAGAAAAACCGAAGATAACCAAGGAATAACCAAAGCATAATTGTGGATAACCAAAAGATAACCGAGGATAATCACGGATAACCAGGAATAACTAGGGATAACTAGAAATAACTGGGGTAAACTTGAAGTAGTAGCGAAGTTTGTTGTTGTTGTGTCCAGCCAATAACTTTTAACCGAATTGAGACCTTATGAAAAAGAAGGGTTGGTCAGAGCCAGAGGGGTAAACCACTAGTGGAAATCATTGTACTTTTTTTTGGGTATCAATCAGGAATACATGGAAATCCCTAGGAATAACCTGGAAATCGCTAGTAATCTCCTAGGACTCTATAGGAATCACATAGGAATCCATTGGGAACCTTCTTAATGAATACCGTGATCCATAGAAACTAACTGATGATATTCCTTTTACATATCGCCCTTATCGCGTGGCATTTTCTGAAAGAGGAATAGTTCACGAACTCATGGAAAATGATATTATCCGTGACTCATCTTCACCTTATGCAAGCTCCGCCCTACTGATGAAAAAGAAAAATGGTGCAAAGATTATAGAGCTTCAAACCGTAAAACGTCCATTACCAAGGATCGATGACCTCTTGGACTCTATTCTACGACCCTAGAATTAGCATCTGGATACTATCAGATTCTATTGAATAAAGAGTCAATTCCGAAGATTGCGTTTGTAACACCAGATGAACAATACGTTTTCCCGCGAATGCCATTTGGACTTGTGAATGCTCCTGCGGTTTTTCAGAGAAAAATAAATCGAATCTTGGGTTCATTGCGATTCGAAACAGCTATGGCATATTTGGACGATGTATTAATACTGTCAAAATCATTACCAGATGGATTTAAAAATCTGAAAGAGACACTAAATATGAGAACAGAAAATTGCTTTTGAGGATTTAAAGAAAAAGCCTGGAAACAAGAGTCTGGAATTAACAAAGAAGTTAAGGAAGAAAATTAAATAATGGAAAAACCGTCGCTCATGATTAAATAAACTCTCGCCCTACGGGCCCGTAATTAAATAAACCCTCGCCCTTCGGGCTCGGGATTAAATATACTCCGGCCCTTCGGGCTCGTGATTAAATAAACTCTCGCCCTGCGGGCTCGGGATTAATTAAACTCCGGCCCTGCGGGCTCGCGGTTAAATAAACCCCCGCCCTATAGGCTCTCAACCATAATGTTTCGAGATTATAATTACGAGCCCATAGGGAGAGGGTTTATATAATCACGAGCCCGGAGAGCCAGAGTTTATTTGAATCACGAGCCCGTAGGGCGAGGATTTATCTAATCACGATTCCGGACAGAAATTGCGGAAAACTGCGTTTGTAAAACCAGATAGAGCTCCTTGCGAATGCCATTTGGACTTGTAAATGCTCCTGCAGATTTTCAGAGAACAATAAATCAAATCTTGGGCTCTTTGCGATTCGAAACACCTATGGCATATTTGGACGACGATTGTAACTCCGGCCCTGCGGGCTCGCGGTTAAATAAATCCCAGCTCTATGGGCTCTCATCCGTAATGTTTCGAGATTATAATTATGAGCCAATAGGGCGAGAATTTAGATAATCACAAGCCCGTAGGGTGAGGGTTTATCTAATCACTATTTCGGATAAAAATGGCGATTTCGTTAACTGATGATATTCCTATTACATATCGCCCTTATCGCATGGCATTTTCTGAGAGGGAAGTTGTAAGAGGAATAGTTCACAACCTCATAGAAAATGATTTTATCTGTAACTTATATCCACCTTATGCAAGCCCTGTCCTACTGATAAAAAAGAAAAATGGCGAGCCGCGCATGTGCATGTACAATACGACCCTAGACCAAGCATCTGGATACCATCAGATCCCATTGAATGAAGAGTCAATTCCGAAGACTGCGTTTGTAACACCAGATGGAGTTCCTTGCGGATGCCATTTGGACTTGTAAATGCTCCTGCGGTTTTTCAGAGTACAATAAATCAAGTCTTGAGCTTATTGCGATTCGAAACAGCCATAACACTATTATTACCAGATGGATTTAAAAAGCTGAAACAGATATTAAATATCTTTAGAAAAGCTGATTTTACACTTAGGTTGAATAAGTGCTATTTCTTTCAAGAGAACATAGAATATTTAGGACATGTTGGTGAGTTTTTAAATATTTGGTGTGGATAAAATTGACGCTGAATTTCCAACACCCAATAACCTTCATGATGTTAGAAGATTTTTGGGACTAGAGAGTTATAATTCATTTCTAAGACCAATTTCTTCACTCACCAAGAAAAATTTGGTTTTTGCCTGGAATATGGAACAGAAAATTGCTTTTGAGGATTTAAAGAAAAAGCCTGGAAGCAAGAGCTTGGAATTACCAAAAAGTTAAGGAAGAAAATGCAATAATTAAAAAACCTCTTGCCCTCCAAGCTCGTGATTCAATAAACCCTCTGGGTGGGCTGGAAATTAGATAAACTCTCGCCCTGCGGGCTCGTGATTAAATGGTGAAGCGCGCATGTGAAATCGTTATTGAACTTTGCACTTTAAGAACTGAAAAGAAAATCCAGTGAATACTTTGTTTTGAAGAGAAATGCATAAAGTTATTATATTGTCTCTGTATTTGAAAGGTTGCTGGGGCGTCCTTTAATCCTAAGGGTATTCTATGGAATTCTTAATATCCTAGAAGCGACTCAGCCTCCGGTAATAATCAAAATTTGACTAATTACATGCGGTTGATTCCTTCTAGAGAAATCATCCGACGAATCAAAACTCAAGAGCCGGTAATAATCAAAATTTGGCCTATCATTGAAGTCACTAGAATGTTATTCAGCCAATCAAACGCCGATAATAATCAAAATTTGAAAAATTATAGGCTGTTGATTCTAGAGAAATTATTTAACGAATGGAAAGTTGCTGCAAATGCATTCAAATTAATCAATACTAGAAAAAGTACTCCAATATTTTCTGTACAACTGAATACATCACAATTGGGAGAAAACCCTGTCCTACTGATGAAAAAGAAAAATGGTGAGACGCCCATGTGCATGTGCATTACAACCCTAAACCTAGCATCTGGATGAGTCAATTCCGAAGACTGCATTTGTGACACCAGATGGATACTACATGTTCTTGCGAATGCCATTTGGACTTGTGAATGCTCCTGCGGTTTTTCAGATTACAGTGACATTTGTCCTTCAGACATAATGAAACTTTATGTTACGACATACGTTACTGATGAAGATATTAGTGACGATAAAAAAATGACAGTGGCAGTTAACAAATTATATTTCTTGTCTTGAATAAACTACCTATCTTTAATTTACAAAAATTGTTGTACATAAATTTACGTAATCCGATTATCTAGTGCAACGAAACCAAAGTGGTTGTTTCACAATAAAAACGAAATTTAATCGTGTGCGTCACCCATATGTCTTGCAAATTGCATACATAAAAATACATACAAAAGTTATATAAATAATACAGTAGGGGTGAATTCAAAATTATAATGATTAATTTATTATAAAAATTTGTGTCATAGACACTGTCTTGCACATATAAACGAGAAGAGAAATTATAATTTCAAATACCCAAAGATGCTAATACATTATATAATCATCCTTTGTTGCATAAGAATTCTTATTAGAGGTCAATGGTTATTTATTTATAAAATTAATTAAAACAAAAGGATTTTATGCAAAATCGTTTTTAAAATGAAGCCGGGGTCAAATTTTGAATTTTGTCAATTAATTTATTAATTTAATTGAGTGTACCTACACCACTGATAATTATTTACTGTTTATAAAGTAAACGTACTATACAAATCCGCATCTAGATAGTAATTTCCGTGTACCATTTACTTTTAGTTTTCTGACTTTGTAAATTGCCACCTTTTCAATCGGTTAGGAGATTGAATATTGGGAGGGCATAATTTTTATTAATTAGTTGTAATTATGATTTTTTTTTCTTGTGATATTTAAATTGGATCAATAGTGACTGGCGCTTTGTCAAGGTTTTTCTAAGTCTAGAACTAGAATTTTGTCTTGTTTTTTTTGGATGTCAATAATTAAGGAATTAATTAGTTTTTTAGTTTTATTTTCGACCTCAAAATCCAATTAGTTCTTGAGTTATTTTGATTGTTCATCACTTTTTGAAAAGTATCTGGGGCGTTTTTTAGTCCAAAAGGGTAAACATTTGGGTTATTTGGTTCGATCTGCTTGAATTTTTAGTATGTTTTACCTCAAATCTTCAAAAATGGATCCGCAAAATTTCATTTAGAAATATCACATCTTTGCTCTTTGTTGCTCAATTGACTTGAATATTGAGTATGTTTTCAGTTCAAAAACTAGATAATACATAATTTATAATTATTATTGTGAAATCCTTATAGTGAATAATTCCTGGGTCATTATACCAAAAAACACACTGTTATATCACCCACAATTTGGTAAACAACATCAATTTGTCCATTTGCAATAATAATTATTACATTGCAGATGCTATTAGAGAATTATCGAAACGTTTTTCGGCCAATAGTGGGTTAATCGTCGTGTGAAATTTAATTATTTTTCCACTAATTTTTGTGTGGAAACTCTAATTACTCGCAATTATTGCTCAATTAACTCATGTTAAGACAAAAATAAATCATGCTCTAGATTTTAATAGTTTGTTTTACCTTGATCCTATGCTTTATAGGTATATAATCACACGAAAACTATACACAAAAACACCCGAAACGAATTTTCGTATTCGCTTTCCAATTCAATGTCATCCGCGTTGTGCTTTCGCTCTTGATTTCTTGTACCTACTGACCGCGCTTCATTGAAGAATCAGGCATGTATTAAAAGAACAATGATAATTAAGTGAGGATTTATTTTTATATTACAAACTAATTCCAATCGGATTTGCCTGACGATGATAGGGACGAGGCTGCGGAAAATACTCCAGTGATTGCGGAAAATAGTAGCTTGAATAGGGTGTACTTGGAGTTTTTGTTGCCCTATATATAAAATTGAGAATTATTTATTGAAGAAAAATATTGACATTTTACCTGTCCCATGCCATTTCCGCCACTGCCCAAAACAGTCTTGATAAATCCTGTTAAAAATGCACCAGAATCTAGTGGCGGAGCCTTTGTGGTACCATTACCTTTTTCCTCCATCGAAGGCTAAATTAAACAAATAATGTGAGTCACGTATAAGTGGTAAGCGGACCATAATATTATAAGAAAAAATAGGTTTCGTAATAAGCGCGCTGACATTTTTATTATTACCACCCCATAATTGCTTTGTGGGTGTATTACGACATTACAAAGTGAGGGCTTGGCAGGCAGGAAATATAGTCAAATTTTGAGTTGAAAAACCGCAAATCTAAAATCAATACTCACCGGTGGACCGCTCAAGGCTGGCAAGATACCTGTCACCACTTTTCCTGCCAAGATACCAGCACCTTTCTAAAAAAAAAAGCGTAATTATTGTTAGAATAATAAAATCTGTAATTATTGCGAAATCATTATTGAACTTTACGCTTTAAGAACTGATGCTTATTTTCGATTATATTGTCCCTGTCTTTGAAAAGTTGCTGGGGCGTCCTTTAATCCTAAGGGTATTCTATGGAATTCCTTATAGGCTAGAAGCGACTCAAACGTAGGTAATAATCAAAATTTGACTTATTACAGGGTCTTGATTACTTTTAAAAAAATCATAATCAAAATTTGGCCAATCACTGGAATCACTAGAATGTTATTCAGCCAATCAAACGCCGGTAATATTCAAAATTTGAACAATTATAGGCTCTTGATTCTGGAGAAATTATTTAATAAATCACTCTTTGGAAAGTTGTTGGGGCATTTTTTGAACCAAAGGGTATTCAAACTAATCAATACCAGATCAGGGATTGTACTCCTTTGGAAGGGATAGAATTCAGGGAAAGTTTCAGCTTTCTGTCTATAATAATGGTCCCTCGTGATACCCTGAACTCCATAAACTAAATTATTCCAAGATTTGGAGCCTAAATCTATGAAAAAAGACACTCAGAAAAATTGAAAAATTGATAAATCACCCCAAATTGCTTGACACGATTTTATTTCAGGAACTATAAGTGCAAATGAGCTGAAATTCTAGAGAAATTATTCAACGATCACTCTTTGAAAAGTTGCTGGAGCATTCTTTAACCCAAAAGGCATTCGGTTACATTTGGATAATCACTGGATCTTGATTTCCTCTAGAATATTATCAAGCGCCGATAATAATTAAAATCTGAATAATTACAGGCTCTTGACCCCTCTAGAAAAATTCTCCCACGAATTACTTTTTGGAAAGTTGCTGGGGCGTTCTTTGATCCAAAGGGCATCCTGTTAAATTCATGTAATGTTTATCATTTTCAACATCAAATGCAGGATCTCATTGCAGAATAAAGACTCATAGATTCAGAAATCTCAAACTATCGATCCAATGACAAACCAATCAATGTCAATTGAAGTTAAACCCAATAGTTCTTTTCATGTGGCTCCGGTTTAACTAACCGGGTTACAAAACGGTTAGAGAAATGACATACCGTTTTCTAACCCGGTTACAAAGTGACGTGATGGATATCTACCACTCGAATTTGAGTGGTATGTTGCGGTTTGTTAAACCGGTGCCACGTGAAAAGGGTTATATGTTAAACCTATAGAGTCAATTGAAGGTCCTACCAGCAAATTACACACGTCAGCTATGGCACCTTATGTGGGAAAAGGAGAAGTTCCAACACCAGTACAACCTATACGCCCACGTGGAAGACCCATGAGAAGACGCCTTGTAGAATATTATCCAGCCAATCAAATATGTTGGTAATAATCAAGATTTGAACAATCATAGGCTCTTGATTCTAGAGTAATTATCTAACGATCACTCTTTGGAAAGTTGCTGGAGCATTCTTTAACCCAAAAGGTATTCGGTTACATTTGGACAATCATTGGATCTTGATTTCCTCTAGAATATTATCAAGCGCCGATAATAATTAAAATTTGAACAATAACAGGCTCTTGATTCCCTCTAGAAAAATTATCCCACGAATTATTTTTTGGAAAGTTGCTAGGGCATTCTTTGATCCAAAAGGTATCCTGTTAAATTCATGTAATGTTTATCATTTTCAACATCAAATGCAGGATCTCATTGTAGAATAAAGACTCATAGATTCAGAAATCTCAAACTATCGATCCAATGACAAACCAATCAATGTCAATTGAAGTTAAACCCATAGGTTAAACCTATAAAGTCAACTGAGTGTCCCACCAGCAAATTACATACGTCAGATATGGTACCTTATGTGGGAAAAGGAGAAGTTCCAACACCAGGTCTGTTCCCACAGGTCTGTTCCCACAGGAGTCTCTGACAGTTTGCAACCTGTCAGAAACAATCGCTCAGCTGAGTTACAGTTTTATCTTGTAACGACAGCATTGAAAACATGTATGGGCGATTCTTACTGACAGTTTGGAAACTGTCAGAGACTCCTGTGGGGACAGACCTCTATACGCCCACGTGGAAGACCCATGAGAAGACGCCTTCTAGAATATTATCCAGCCAATCAAATGCCGGTAATAATCAAAATTTGAACAATCATAGGCTCTTGATTCTAGAGAAATTATCTAACGATCACTCTTTGGAAAGTTGCTGAGGCGTCCTTTAATCCAAAGGGCAATCAGTTACATCTGGACAATCACTAGATCTTGATTCCCTCTAGAATATTATCAAGCGCCGATAATAATTAAAATTTGAACAACATTTTATTCCCTCTAGAGAAATTATCCAACGAATTATTCTTTGGAAAGTTACTGGGGAATTCTTTGATCCAAAGGGCATCCTGTTAAATTCATGTAATGTTCATCATTTTCAACATTGAATGCAGAATATCATTGTAGAAGGAAGACTCACAGATTTTGAAGAAAAATGAATAAAGTTATTATATTGTCTCTGTCTTTGAAAGGTTGCTGAGGCGTCCTTTAATCCTAAGGGTATTCTATGGAACGAATTTTCCGTTATACGAGGATACCATTTGGAATAAAAAATGCACCCTTCATCTTCCAAACACTCATTGATCGATTCAAATCCGGACTCCAAGATTTGACCATATTACTCAAGTTACCCCTTATTTGATAAATATTACTAGAACTTTGAGAGAAGCAAAAGAGCTCTATGAAAAGTCCCAAGATGAATCAAAACATTGTGCTGACCAAAGGAGAAGAACTATTCTCCATTACAAAAAGGGAGATCGAGTGATGGTGGATACATACTCAATTAGCAAAGCCAAAAATGCCTATACTTGATGTGATGGTCCATATGAAGTTACTAACTTTGTCACTCCAACAACAATTGAAGTTAAACCTATAGAGCCAACTGATTACTGAAGGTCTCACCATCAAATCACATACATCAGCTATGGCACCTTATGTGGGAAAACGAGAAGTTCCAAGACCAGTATAACCTATACGTCCACGTGGAAGACCCATGAGAAAAAGTCTTGTAGAATATTATCCAGCCAATCAAATGCCAGTAATAATCAAGATTTGAACATTGATTCTAGAGAAATTATTCAACGATCACTCTTTGAAAAGTTGCTGGGGCGTTCCTTAATCCAAAGGGCATTCGATTATATTTGGAAAATCACTGGATTTTGCTTCCATCTAGAATATTATCAAGCGCCGGTAATAATTAAAATTTGAACAATTATAGGCCCTTGATTCCCTCTGCTGGGGCGTTCTTTGTTCCAAAGGGCATCCTGTTAAATTCATGAGCCAAAATATCTTGAAATTTCACAACAATTGTTGTAGGATTTAGATCATTCAAGCAACAAATTTTAATCTAATAATCCTTTTTGTTACAGATTAATGGATTATGGACGCCATCGAGGGATACAGGAGGACGATCCAGAGTCGGTAAGGTAAGTGTCAATGTGAAAAGAGAAAAATAAGTTTATTCTTACTGCTCCTGGTGGATTAGCGACTCCTTTAATCACAGCTCCTAATAGGCCTCCGGCAAAGGCTCCTATATCTGAACCGCCTCCACCTGCATCACCCTGTATATATAAATTCAATTATTTGAAAATTAAAATCATTTATCTGTAAACGTACACCAAAGAAGCTCCGCAAAAGATCTGAAAGGCCGCTGAAATCGTAGGTACCATAAGGATTTTGCTTTAAGGAAAATAATATTATTAGATAATCTTTAAATTGTTCATTACTTACAGTGCTGAGGCTTCCAAGTAGACCTAAAATGGCTTCTAAATCTATGCTACCATCAGGCTGAAAGCATAATTTAAATGTATTTATTATCTAAAGGAACTTATTTGTCTTGCCTTGCTTAAACCACCTAAAAAAGCCCCTAACAATCCAGTTATCATATTTCCTCCTTCATCTTCCTCCTCACTACTGTCAGTTTCCTGTGAGGCCTTTTCCTCATCGAATTTCTCTTGTCTAGGATTTCTAGTTTCGTTTAATTTTACGCTAACGTTCTGAAAAAACATGTATTACATAACAAGCTGAAATTACCCAAAAATTATACATGACGGTTTCTTCACATATAAATGTAAGTTTATATTTACGACATTTTAATTTATTTGCAACCAGACAAATTGAGGTCGTAGGTCAATATGAATTTCGGTAAAAAAAAATTTGTATCATGAGTTTATGCTGCACTGACCGCAAATTAACCATGAAAATTTCCATATACTAGAAATATTGAGCAATAATAATAAGTTTATGGTAATTATCTTAAGAACCACAATCGAGCAATTAGCGTTTGGTGTGAAAAATCGGTCCTTGAATTGAATGTGTCACCTAAAATTACCTTATTATTATCGGAAAAATCCGCTGTAAATGGTATAATCATTTTGGTATAGTCTTGGGTCTTTGAATCGGCAAACAGTGAGTCATTTTTTGACAAATAATTATCCAACTCCAACAAATCATCATTTATATTGTTGTTTTCCTGAAAAAGAAAAATCCTAGTAGGCTTATTTGACTATTGAGTAAACACTTGTACGTTAAACGGAGCATTTTCTCCAATTTTCTGCACCCAAGAAGCTGGGTAACCGTGCACCGAACAAACGAAAACCAGAACCAAAAACATGTTTGACTGTTTGAAATCCGATCAAAAACTGAACACAATTCTTCGAGTTTTTATTAAATATTGTCACATAATGAGGATTTTGTAATAAAAAAGCGAATCAAAGAAGTTATTTGTCGATTTTGTCGAGGCCTCAGGTTAAAATATTCTTTTGGCCGACTATTTTCCTCTGTAATTATTTTCGATGTAATGAGCCATCGTAGTACTGGTCGACATGGAATATGGTTTGTGTACCACACCCCCTGGTGATTTCATTTCCTTATTATTTTGTTGGTTTATTTGCACCCTGTATAATCTCTCAATTCTAGAAGTAGTAAGATTATATTGTCCTTATTCTGTAATGCTAGTAATACGTGTTTGTCCATCCCTCTTTGAAAAGTAGCTGGGGCGTTTTTTAATTCAAAAGGGCATCCTGTTGCACACTATCAGTCCTAAATTCAGTGTGTCAAGAATCATTTTGTAGTCAGATAATTAGTAAAATACAAGTCCCTATTATGTGAGCCTAGTAATACGTCTTTGTCCATTCCTCTTTGAAAAGTCGCTGGGGCGTTTTTTAATCCAAAAGGGTATTCTGTTGCACACTGTCAGTCCTAAATTCAGTGTATCAAGAATCATTTTATAGTCAGATAATTAGTAAAACACAAGTCCCTATTATGTAAGCCTAGTAATACCTCTTTGTCCATCCCTCTTTGAAAAGTGGCTGTGGCGTTTTTTAATCCAAAAGGGCATCCTGTTGCACACTATCAGTCTTAAATTCAGTGTGTCAAGAATCATTTTGTTGACAGATAATTAGTAAAACACAAGTCCCTATTATGTGAGCCTAGTAATACGTCTTTGTCCATCCCTCTTTGAAAAGTAGCTGGGTCGTTTTTTAATCCAAAAGGGTATCCTGTTGCACACTACCAGTCTTAAATTCAGTGTGTCAAGAATCATTTTGTAGTCAGATAATTAGTAAAACACAAGTCCCTATTATGTAAGCCTAGTAATACGTCTTTGTCCATCCCTCTTTGAAAAGTAGCTGGGGCGTTTTTTAATCCAAAAGGGCATCCTGTTGCACACTACCAGTCTTAAATTCAGTGTGTCAAAAATCATTTTGTAGACAGATAATTAGTAAAACACAAGTCCCTATTATGTAAGCCTAGTAATACGTCTTTGTCCATCCCTCTTTGAAAAGTAGCTGGGGCGTTTTTTAATCCAAAAGGGCATCCTGTTGCACACTACCAATCTTAAATTCAGTGTGTCAAGAATCATTTTGTAGTCAGATAATTAGTAAAACACAAGTCCCTATTATGTAAGCCTAGTAATACGTCTTTGTCCATCCCTCTTTGAAAAGTAGCTGGGGCGTTTTTTAATCCAAAAGGGCATCCTGTTGCACACTACCAATCTCAAATTTAGTGTGTCAAGAATCATTTTGTAGTCAGATAATTAGTAAAACACAAGTCCCTATTATGTAAGCCTAGTAATACGTCTTTGTCCATCCCTCTTTGAAAAGTAGCTGGGGCGTTTTTTAATCCAAAAGGCCATCCTGTTGCACACTACCAATCTTAAATTTAGTGTGTCAAGAATCATTTTGTAGTCAGATAATTAGTAAAACACAAGTCCCTATTATGGAAGCCTAGTAATACGTATTTGTCCATCCCTCTTTGAAAAGTAGCTGGGGCGTTTTTTAATCCAAAAGGGCATCCTGTTGCACCACACTATTAGTCCTAAATTCAGTGTGTAAGAATCATTTTGAAGTCAGATAATTAGTAAAACACAAGTCCCTCTTATGTAATCCTAGTAATACGTCATTGTGCATCCCTCTTTAAAAAGTGGCTGGGTCGTTGTAATCCAAAAGGGCATCCTGTTGCACACTATCAGTTTTAAATTCAGTGTGTCAAGAATCATTTTGTAGTCAGATAATTAGTAAAACATAAGTCCCTATTATGTAAGCCTAGTAATACGTCTTTGTCCATCCCTCTTTGAAAAGTACCTGGAGTGTTCTTTAATCCAAAAGGGCATCCTGTTGCACACTATCAGTCTTAAATTCAGTGTGTCAAGAATCATTTTATAGTCAGATAATTAGTAAAACACAAGTCCCTATTATGTAAGCCTAGTAATACGTCTTTGTCCATCCCTCTTTGAAAAGTGGCTGGAGCGTTCTTTAATCCAAAAGGGCATTCTGGTTTTAGGTATCAAATTATCATGTCAGGGTAATTGCTTATCGACAATCTATGTATGGGTACACAAACACAAGTCTCTCCCACGTTGTTTAACTCAGTCATTAATCCATTAATTTGCATTCAATATTAAGTTTTACCTAACCCAGTGGTTACTTTCGATATAATATAATAATAACGACCCAAGGCTGTCCGGTGCTTGCTATTTTTTTCCTTTTTCTTCTCTCTTCTATGTTCGATAATAAAAGTATATCTGCTCCAATTCTATTGATCAATCGCATAGAGTTTTGAGTATAGACAACCAGTAAAACTCACTGCAAGTGAAAGTGTAGGCGATTAATTATTATTCATAGAATAATAACAAACATAACAGTTTTTTTTTCTAATAATAATATGTAATTGTATTTATTAGGTTAACTGGTTTTTTTGTATTGTAATGTTAATGCATGATATGTGTGGACGTTTTTGCGTCACTTAAATAATATTTTTGTCGACAAGAAAATAATCTGTTTCCTAAATTATTATGTTATTACCATCAGACAAGGCAAGGGCAAAATAATTGGTATTTATAATGTTAACTAAAATATAGTATATACCTAAATATATAGGTTATGATTGCGGGATTTACCTCATCAAAAAGTGATTGGACATCTTACAAACGCTCTCTATTTCTATCATCATTCATCGATGTTTTAATTCGATTTGCATCGCTTCGGCTATACTACAATTTAATAATAATTAAAAGTGGGTTATAGCACTTTCACTATCGGTCCTAGGCGGGTTTGCACATTCTATACGAATTTTCCTAATTAAGTTATTGGCTCATTATCGTTATCATAATTGTATGTTTCCGGTTATCGGTTGCAAATTAAAAGTGACGTAATGGTGTCGCTGCTAATACGAGTTTGGTAATGGACCTACTTGGCTAGAGATAATGAGTTGTGCAATTTGTATGGTCCCTTAAGCTAATATGTATGTCGTCTAGACATCTTTCTACTAATTCTACCACTGTATAAAGATACGGGGTAATCAATTTTGTATTATTCCCGGCTCTTGTAGGAAAATTTTCATGAAAACTGGTAAACGAGAACAATTCCACCACTGTGTAAAGATACGGGGTGATCAATATTTCATTATCTGTGGCTCTTAAGGTAGAAAATCTTTCACGAGAGCCGGTAATAGACAACAATTTTACCCACTGTAATTTGACTCAACAAAAATAAGCCACTGTATGATCAATATTTTGTTATTTCCGGCTCTTGTAGGAAATTTTCCACGAAAGCTGGTAAACGAGAACAATTCCACCACTGTGTAAAGATACGGGGTGATCAATATTTCATTATCTGTGGCTCTTAAGGTAGAAAATCTTTCACGAGAGCCGGTAATAGAAAACAATTTTACCCATTGTAATTTGACTCAACCAACATAAGCCACTGTATAAAGATACAGAATGATCAATATTTTGTTATTCCCGGCTCTTGTAGGAAATTTTTCATGAAAAGTGGTAAACGAGAACAATTCCACCACTGTGTAAAGATACGGGGTGATCATCAATATTTCATTATCTGTGGCTCTTAAGGTAGAAAATCTTTCACGAGAGCCGGTAATAGAAAACAATTTTTACCCACTGTAATTTGACTCAACCAACATAAGCCACTGTATAAAGATACAGAATGATCAATATTTTGTCATTCCCGGCTCTTGTAGGAAATTTTTCATGAAAAGTGGTAAACGAGAACAATTCCACCACTGTGTAAAGATACGGGGTGATCAATATTTCATTATCTGTGGCTCTTAAGGTAGAAAATCTTTCACGAGAGCCGGTAATAGAAAACAATTTTTACCCACTGTAATTTGACTCAACCAGAATAAGCCACTGTATAAAGGTACAAAATGGTCAATATTTTGTTATTCCCGGCTCTTGTAGGAAATTTTCCACGAAAGCTGGTAAACGAGAACAATTCCACCACTGTGTAAAGATACGGGGTGATCAATATTTCATTATCTGTGGCTCTTAAGGTAGAAAATCTTTCCCGGGAGCCGGTAATAGAAAACAATTTTACCCACTGTAATTTGACTCAACAAAAATAAGCCACTGTATGATCAATATTTTGTTATTTCCGGCTCTTGTAGGAAATTTTCCACGAAAGCTGGTAAACGAGAACAATTCCACCACTGTGTAAAGATACGGGGTGATCAATATTTCATTATCTGTGGCTCTTAAGGTAGAAAATCTTTCACGAGAGCCGGTAATAGAAAACAATTTTACCCACTGTAATTTGAGTCAACCAAAATAAGCCACTGTATAAAGCTACAGAGTGATCGATATTTTATTATTCCCGGTTCTTGCAGGAAATTTTCCACGAAAGCTTGTAAACGAGAACAATTCTACCACTGTGTAAAGATACGGGGTGATCAATATTTCATTATCTCTGGCTCTTAAGGTAGAAAATCTTTCACGAGAGCCGGTAATAGACAACAATTTTTACCCACTGTAATTTGAGTCAACCAAAATAAGCCACTGTATAGAGATACAAAATAATCAATATTCTGTTATTCCTGGCTCTTTTAGGAAATTTCCACGAAAGCTGGTAAACGAGAACAATTCCACCACTGTGTAAAGATACGAGGTGATCAATATTTCATTATCTGTGGCTCTTAAGGTAGAAAATCTTTCACGAGAGCCGGTAATGGAAAACAGTTTGACCCACTGTAATTTGACAACAAAAATAAGCCATTGTATAAAGATCAAAAATTTGTAAGTACACTGTAGACATTGTAGAAAAACGTTCATTGCTTCTACAACATCTCTTATGTTTTAGATACTTTGTAGATTCCGTAGAA